GCTCTTGAGTGACTAAGAGTGATCTGAGTGAGAGTCTCCTTGAAAGAGGAGAGTGAGAGCCTTATTGTGAGAGAAGAAGGCTCAAATGTATCACTTGATGAAGTGTATGTGATCAAGTTAAGTGGTAAAGTGAAGTAGTCTCATATACAAAAAGTGAGTGAGGGTAATACAAAGTGATATTATAAGATTGAGTATTTGTATTATGTGTGTGTGGATATATAAGTGTACAAGGCATATTGAAACTCGTATGACTGATCAACCGAGATTATCCCGGAAAAGGCTGAGAGTCGTGTTATTCCAACATAAAGTTATTATACAACATTTTGAACAAATTGAAACTCGTATGACTGATCAACCGAGATTATAGATATGAGTCGATCAAGCAATATGTTATGAACAAATTTGTATTAATCTATTACGCTTTTATCGTTTTCATTATATTTTGAGGAAATAAACAAAATTCTTAGCCTTCAATTCAGTACGCCCCTCCTTCGAAAAATATCTGGCTCCGCCACTGGTAATTGGCACACTATGGTGCATCGATACTTCACTCTGATGTTGTATCCGTGTATCCTATACGTATCCAATACCGATATTCACCGATACATGTCCTGTAGCGTGCAGCCGATTGAAGACGGAAGGGAAGAGGAGCGTGCGGATTGCGGGAGATGGATTGAGCGCATATGGGACTCTGCATTTGGAAACTCGTCGAGCGCAGATGGATCTGTCTGGTTTATTTTATTTGATGGGTTTAAAAAATTGGGTTTGGGTTAAGGCCTGTTCAAATAAATCGTCACCTAGGCGTCTAAAGCGTTCTTCCAACGCTGCTTCGACGCCACAAGGTTTATGGCGAGTCGACAACATATGGCGAGCCTCTCCTAGCGCCAGGACGATGTGGCGACGATAAGGCGACACCATGACAACTATGGAGATAATCTAAACTTGATGAAAAACATGCTAAAAAGAAGATGTTCAAAAAACTTATTAAAAAATTTAAAAATTCTTGGTGTACACTTTCTTATACACATCAGTACACCTCTGTGTTTGTGTGAAGTTTTTTTTTTGTCTGTGAACATCAGTTCACAAACAAAACCGGCTTGCTTTGTCTGTGAAAAATTCTACAAACAAAACAAGTCAGTTTTTTGTCTGTCAACAGGTATTCACAGACAAAAAAACTCTCACAAATATGAAGGTGTACTGATATGTATAAAAACGTGTACAAAAGGAATTTTTTTAAAAAAAAATTTACTGGGAGGCGAGTTGGGGGAAGCCCGATGTAATCGGGGCTTATTGATTGCTTGCAAGATCAGAAAGTTGTGAGGTTGTAAGGCTTGGTGGCAGAACTGGTTGATCTGTTCAAACTTCCCCACCCTATATGCTAATGATTGGCCGTTTGTAACTTTTTGACTTTTTGTTTCTAATTCAGAAGATGCTTTCTTTTTTGGTTGTGTATACCTTAAAATCCATAGCAATGGGATAGGAATTCTTCTGAAAGCCACATTTGTTCTTTTCACTAGGGTGAGATTGGGTCAAGTTGGGTCGGGTTTTTGCTAGCAACGCTAAAAACGTGAAAAGCTTAGGGTTCTACATTTTTGGGCCCGATCGAAGGACCAATACTTTCGAGCTAGTCCGGATTTTAAGAGTCTCGGATTCAGATTGAGTTCGGGTTGGGTTGGGTTGAATCCTGAAAAAATCGAACTGAGATCTCTAAAAACAATTGAAAAACAATCACAACAAAAATTGCAAATATCTAAACTTCTAATAAAAAAAATATACGTAGTACATATATTAAATTCAAAGTAGCATATTTTAAATCTAAAAATCACAGGACAGAAAATGTTGTAGAAGAACAATTGGTTCAAAAGCAAAGTAATTTTCCCTCCGCCCAAAATTGATTTACAAAGTCAAGATTTTTCGTTCAACCAATGTTAAAGTAAATCCTCCATATTGACACTCAATTCAATTTTTAATAATTAAAATTTACAAATGATCAAAAAATAATAATTAAAATTTAGATATTCAAGAATTACATTAAAATCTCTTCAAAGTTGCAAACTCCAAAATAAATATAATTAAAAATTGGCATTCACATTTAGTGAATAAAATGAAATTGTTTGATTAAAAAAGTCAATTTTGCAAATTAATTTGAGATGAATGTAGTATAAAGTAGTCCAAATGTATAATATGAGTATATAAAAGATCGATATGATGTATTAATAGGTCATATATAAAACAATAATATCAGGAAATAACGGTTTACCCTATTGGGTGCCTTAGCTTGTACTTTTAATAAATAGAGTTATGGAAATTACAAAGTAATCCCTAGCTTTGTAATTTTCATAACTCCTTGTTAAGATAATTGGGTAAGCCCGGCCTGGACCGAAAAACCCAATTTCATTAAGAAATTACAAAGTAATCCCTAGATAATTTCTTGTTGCTGCTAGATAGCTATGTACGAATGATAGCCTACCACATAAATCCTAAGAAGAGTCCGTACGAATGATAGCCTACCACATAAGTCCTAAGAAGAGTCCGACCTCGCTAGAACTTCGCACAGGTCCTATGTCAACTGTCAAGCTTGGCCTGGTTGTGAGTTTCTTTTGGGGGTTGGATTCCTAATTAGGCTCAACAACTATTATTCATTATCAATTCTGATTAATGAGCTGATCACATGGATGGGCAGATCCATTTGATGGGCTTTATTTTAATTTAGTCTTGGGCTTAGCTTACCATCAACCATGGTTCTAAAAGGCCTTAAAAGGCTCCGCCTAGGCGGGCCTAGGCCCAAGGCGTCAGCCTAAAGCCTCGCACAGCCCATAGGCGTGACAAAAGCGGCCAAAATTTTAAGGAAGCCCATAACAATTAAAACTACTGGTCCTGGACCAGATAAGCCGGTCATCAAGCTTTCAACCAGGTCGCTTGCCGCTGATCTGAAAATGCGTTGGCGAGGGACGAATTTATAACGGCTTGGAAGGCGGAAAAATGTTTTGTAATCGGTGTGGGAAAAACAAATTGCATAAAGTACTCCGTATTTGCTAGGTGCAGTTCCATCTCACCCACAACTTCAATGTGCTCTTTTAAAATTTGAAACTGTGAAACTTTAGAGATTACTCCGTATTAGTAATTTAGTATAATAGCTTGACATTAATACGCTAACAACTACTATGTATTATTATTATTGATAAGATATTAATATTAAGATTGTTTTAATTATTGTTATTATTGTTATACATTATTATTCTATTTTATTGTTATCATTATCAAGATCCTCACTCTTATCATTTTTATTAGAGGGTTTTTCAAAAATATAACTCTTTTTGTCCCGTAGAAATGTTCTCATTTCCTTTTTGTACGTCTTATATAAAGATTCTCATTTCTATTTTGAGAAACAGTTCACAATTATAAATGATAATTTAATTATTAAATATTAGAAATAATACATCTAAAACCTCACATTCATTTGTCGTGGAACCTTCCAATGAGATGAAGGTAGTACTATAATAAAAATTATGTTCTTGAATAGCATTATTTAAAAATAGTTTTAGAAAAATTAAAATAAATGATAACAAATCATGACTACTACATTTTCAGGCCTAACGTAACATTAAAGATGTAACATATCTATAAAAGTGTTACATATTTCTCTAATGTAACACTTTTTAGACCTAGTGTAACACTTTCTAGAAGTATAAATGTTACATTAGGGACATAAAGTGTTACAATAGGTCAAATGCAACATGAGCAAATGTAATGGTGAAAAAGTGTTACATTATCTCTAATGTAACATTTTTCAGTGAATTGTAACACTTTTAGGTGATTTATTAGGGGTTGAAATGTTGTAGTGTGATCAAAACGCCTTTTCACGCCTACGTCTCGCCTAAGCCGCCTAGGCTTCAAAGGGTTAAGGCTTGGATGTGCCGCCTCGACACGCCTTACGCCTTTTAGAACATTGTCATCAACATATAATTAAAATTAATTTATTATGGTTTCCCCTAATGTTTGCCCCCTGTTTACCAACTTTGCTCTGTTCTCAACTCAAAATAGGTATACAAGGATGGCTAAAACAGCGAGTGAAGAACAAATAAGCATCGACAGAGAAGAACAGAGTATCAAGATACTGAAGAAAAATCCGCAAAGCGGCATCGGAAAGACTCTCTGTGTGCTTACCTTCCGTGAAATATTCGTAGTTAAGGTAAACACAAATTGTTTCGTGATTGACGAAATCGGCGACAATGATATTTGCACTGCAATAGGTCTGCCAAATCTCATAATGGGTATGGTGGCAATTAAGTCTAAGATATTGTTGGTAGGCGGTGAAGAGCTTATTAAAAATGGTAGTCGTCGCACTTTTGTACAAATAGAAATTATGATGAAATCCTTCCAAGTAATGTCTATGAGCTGAAGCAAGATACCAAGTCCATGACAGTAGGTGCTTCAGAGGTCATCCCAAATCTAAATGAGGGAAAGCTAATGCCCATTGTCCAAAATTTCGGCAGCAAGATATTTGTACTCCAGAGAAAGGCCTATTTCAAACGAAATGTGCACAACTCTTGTACCAAAAAATGCATTTTTGAAGTTTATGATTTTTCTACTCCTACCGAAGGGTGGGTTGCTAAATTTACGCCTATCCATGATATTGTTGAATCCTCGGGTGGGTACACAGTGTATACGTACTGTCGAGTAGCGGACAAGTTATACTTGAATGTCGGTTTAGATGCAGAGAATAATTTGGTTTTTGATCTAAAGACGGAGAAATGGTCTATGAATGATTGTTTTTTTGCTAAGTGGACTTCTCCTTCCCAGTTACGAGTTGGTGTCTCTGTTCCGGGTTTAGATCATGGACAGCATGTCATTCTTGGATTTGAAGACCGTGAGTGGTGTGGCTCCCCACGATTTTATGCTTGGCTTTTCACTCAAGGAAAAGGGTTTTCATGCTATCAAAGTATTGATGACATCTTCTCTTTAGGAGAAGTGGAGTTATGTTTTCTAAGCTGCGAATTTCTTGAGTTGGGGAATGGTGAGTTCTTTGGCATCTTGATATGTCAGAATGTAGAATTGGAGGACTTCTATCTTGTTGTATCAACATTTTGCCTTGGCGTGATTACTACACCTGCGCCCTCATTTCCTCCTGTAGAGGATCCTTTGGAAACCCATTTCCTTGAGGTTAACCACAGGAACCAGCAAGTGTTCAAATTGGAATCGCCTCCCCATGGATGCCCCTATATTGAAGGAGCAGCAGTTCTTTAGGTATCTCCTAACTCATTATTTGCATTATTCTCTTTATTCAACATTTATCCTGCTTCGCTTTTTGCTTTTCCTTTTTAGAGTTTGTTTGCTCATCCTGTCATAGTATGTACATAGAAAGGGATCATTATCTTCCCAAAACCTTAATAGAATAAGGACTTGAGTTTTCACTCCACTGGCTCTATACTTCTGATAATTCTTGAACCTAAATTCTAGGGATGGCAATCATCACATGTTCTTCCAATCCCCTCTCTTTAAATCTGAGCCAGTAACTCCACTGGATCTTTGATCTTGCAAAATTTTTGTCATCAAATCCTGAATGTATTATGAGTATGAGTAGATATGTAGGGTATCATAGAAGTAATTTCAGTTACGCACACCTCAATTTTGACCATAAATGAATTCACCGATGTGACACGTAAATGCGAAAATCATGGGGAAACGGGAAACTTCAACTTTTGCTCAAAAAACGTTTGTTTGAAGATTTTCGGAAGAGTTTGTAAAGTTTCCAAAACGGAAACATACTCTTTCCCGAGAGTTCCCATGCTACATAGGAATTCACTAATTCAGCGATCATTGAGGTATGAGACTGAATATATATTTATCATTTCGTGGATTCGATATGTTCATGGCACATTGGCATGTAGTTATATTCATACATATAGTTATGTATTTTACATATATATTGTCTGTTGGAGATTTATTAAGAAATGGAGCTCAAGTGTTTGACACGATTTTGAGATGTTATTTTAATAATTATTGTCAAGCTTTAATTATTAAATATAATAATAAAGATTATTAGTTATAATTATTATTATGTAAATTATGGTACTAAATAGGTATTTTAGTTAACATAATTTATATAATAATAATTGATTTCAAAAGTGGTCATGCATGTACTCAGTTTTTAATTAAAAATAAATTGTTTTTTAAATAATTAAAGATGCACGTACCTTTTTGACTTCAAAAGGTGTACCTTTGTTTCTATTAATTTTAAATGGACGAAGGGAAAAGTCACGACAGTTACCCGGCTTTTAGAAAACTCATTTCTCAGCGGAGCATCGTGATTTTTCATAAAGGCATGACCATTTAGAAGAGATCTCTATACTCTTTAAAAGGAGAAAGAGGGATGTTGGGCGGAACATACGAACGTACAAAAATAAACACTTGCTCTCTTGCTTTGCCATATTGTATTACTATTAACTGCAGTAATAGTAATAAAATACTTAGACTACTTTATATACAAATCACTTGTTCGGTGTTATTTTATCGGTAACTAAAATACACCATACACCTTTTTATCCCAAAAGTTCTATCTTGTAACCCAGTTACTGTGATAAGGGTAGATAGTAAACTTTTAGGAAAACGTATTTAATACGTGACTAGAAGTGATATCCGGTTCAGCCATATTTCACACCCTTGTATTTCACTATTTTCATCCTCCTGTTCTAACAATCTAAAAGTTTACTAATCTGAAAGTATGGCCGCTACTCAACGTGATATCATCAACACCAATTTTAAAAAATTGTAAAAATTTGAAGGTGTGGAGTTTCGAAGGTGGCAGAAAAAGATGCATTTTCTGCTCACCACTTTGAAAGTGGTCTATGTGTTAAGCACCCCGAGGCCGCCCGAGGAAGATGAAAATGAGACTTTGGAAACAAGCCGCCGCCGCATAAAGTGGGACAATGATGACTATATCTGTCGTGGACATATTTTGAATGGTATGTGCGATTCTCTTTTTGATGTGTATCAAAATGTTGAATTTGCTAAAACGTTGTGGGAATCGCTAGAGTCTAAGTACATGACCGAGGATATATGCTTCTAGTAAGAAATTTTTCATTAGTTACTTTAATAGTTACAAAATGGTGGACTCCAGTTCGGTCATGGAGCAATTTCATGAAATTCAACGTGTATATGATCAACTTTTGATACACAACATGCATGTCAATGAAACCTTTGTTGTCGGTTCTATAATCGACAAATTACCCCCTTCATGGAAGGAAGTGAAAAATAGCCTCAAACGCAAAAAGGAGGATTTGTCAATGGAGCAACTTGGTCGCCGACTTCAAATTGAAGAAGGCATTAAGTTGCGTGAAGGTGACAATGGTAAAAAGAGCGACCTTCCAATTTCCTCTATAAATGTTATGGAGGAGGGACATTCAAGTGGGTCTAAGAAATATAAAAAACGTCCCGGGAAATTCACCAAAGGTTCCAAGTTTCAAAAGAAGCCAAAAAAATAAGAAAGTGGGATCTTGTTGGAAATGTGGCGGTCCACACTTCAAGAGGGACTGCCCGAAGGTGAAGAAGAAGGCCCAACCGAACGGCCATCCTAACGGTGGCCAAGACAACCAAGGTCAGAATATTTTTGTAGTTACAAATGATGATGATAACAACATGATTTTTGTAGCTATGCTTTCTGAAATTTGTGTTGTGCAGGATGATGAATCTTGATGGATCGACACCGGAGCGACAAGGCATGTATGCAAAGATAGGCAAGCCTTTAAGACTCTAAAAGAGTTGGAAGAAGGGCCGATCTTATACATGGGAAATGATTCTACTGTGCAAATTCAAGGAATCGGCCAAGTAGAGTTGGAATTAACTTCCGGAAAGAAATTAATTCTTAATGATGTGTACTTTGTACCACAAATCCGGAAAAATCTTGTCTCCGGTGGCATCCTAAATAACTTTGGGTTTAAACTTAGCTTTGAAGCAAATAAGTTTATTTTATCTAAGGGTGGTGTATTTGTAGGCCAAGGTTTCTTTTGTAATGGCATGTTCAAACTAAGTGTTGTAAATAAAGTGATTAATTCCGTTTATATGGTTTGTGATTCATCTTTGTGGCACAATAGGTTATGTCATGTTAATTATCGTAGATTAAGTGACATGTCTAAAGTAGGATTAATTCCTCCTTTTAATATTAACATAGAAAAATGTAGAACTTGCATGTTAAATAAAATCACTAGAAATTCTTTTCAAAATGTTGAAAGAAAATCCAACATGCTTGAATTAGTGCATAGTGATTTGTGTGATTTCCATGGCACTCCGTCTTTTGGAAATAAAAAATATGTAGTCACATTTATTGATGATTGCACAAGATATTGTTATATATATCTTTTATTTTCAAAAGATGAGGCAATGGATAAATTTAAAGTTTTTAAAACGGAAGTTGAGTTACAAACCGGAAATAAAGTAAAAAGGCTTAGAACTGACAAAGGAGGAGAATATTATGAGCCTACATTTTTTGAATCCGTTGGAATAATCCATGAAACAACAACCCCTTACACGCCGCAACAAAACGACATTGCTGAAAGAAAGAATAGAACTTTAAAAGAAATGGTTGATTCCATGTTGTCTAATTCGGGCTTAAGTAATGGATTTTGGGGTGATGCTATGTTAACTGCTTGTTATATTCTTAATAGAGTGCCTAACAAGAAAAATAAGATTACCCCATACGAACTTTGGCACAAAAGAACACTCTAACTAAGTTATCTTAGAGTATGGGGTTGTAGGGCAATCGTGAGATTACCGGAACCTAAAAGAAAAACGTTAGGTGAAAAGGGGGTAGAGTGCATATTTATTGGATATGCTGAACATAGTAAATCTTATCGATTCTATGTTATTGAACCGAATGACTCAATTGCGGTTCACACTGTTATTGAGTCTAGGGACGCTCTTTTTGATGAGAAGCGGTTCACTTCTATTCCTATGCCAAAGGATGTTGATCCTGGTTCAAGTAATTCACGCTTATATGAACTGGAAAAGGATCATGAAAATGAGCCTGAAATAAGACGGAGTAAGAGGGCTAGAAAAGAAAAGTCATTTGGTCCCGATTTTCAATTGTATTTGGTTGAGGGATCAAGAGAGACCCTTGAAACTCAAACATTATATTGTTATAGTGTTGAGGAGGATCTTAACTCTTTTGAAGAGGCAATGAAATCTCAAAATGCTTCCTTCTGGAAAGAGGCCGTAAATGATGAAATGGATTCAATCATGGGCAATAATACTTGGGTTCTAAGTGATTTACCACCCGGTTGCACACCAATCGGTTGTAAATGGATTTTCAAGAAGAAAATGAAAGTTGACGGTACCATTGACAAGTTTAAAGCTAGATTGGTTGCACAAGGCTTTAAACAAAAACATGGTATTGATTACTTTGACACATATGCACCGGTAGCTAGAATAACTACCATAAGATTGTTAATTGCTTTATAGGCTATTCACAATCTTGTGATTCACCAAATGGATGTAAAAACTGCATTCTTAAATGGTGAATTGGAGGAGGAGGTGTATATGAAACAACCCGAAGGGTTTGTTGTTAAAGTACAAGAAAAGAAAGTTTGTAAACTTGTCAAGTCCTTGTATGGTCTGAAACAAGCACCTAAACAATGGCATCAAAGATTTGATGAGGTGGTGCTGAAAAATGGTTTTAAAATAAACCAATCAGACAAGTGCATATATAGCAAATTTAATGAGCATGGAAATGGTGTCATTATTTGTCTATATGTGGATGATATGCTCATATTTGGCACTGATTTGAGGCAAGTGAAAGAAACAAAAGCTTTCCTCTGTTCAAACTTCTCCATGAAAGATATGGGTGAAGCGGAAGTTATCCTTGGAATTAGGATAATTAAACAAGGTGATACTATCACCTTAACACAATCTCACTATGTAGAGAAAGTGTTGAAAAGATTTGGGAGTTTGGATTGTTCACCAGTTTCCACTCCCATGGATCCTAGTTGGAAATTAGTTCCAAATAGTGGGAAGGCTGTATCACAGCTTGAATATGTTAGGGTGATTGGGTGTTTGATGTACGCAATGACTAGCACCCGGCCAGATATTGCATTTGCGGTAGGAAAGCTAAGTAGATATACTAGTAATCCTAGTATATTTCATTGGCAAGCCTTGAAGCGAGTGCTGAAATATCTAAAGAAAACAATGACCTTCGGCTTATGTTATAAGAGTGAACCCTCTATATTAGAAGGTTACAAGGATGCAAGTTGGATAATGACATTCATGTTCTTCCTTGAATATTAATTAATTCCTATTCCTATTACATATTAATATTTTGAGCAATACTTAAAGGATCAACTAGTTTTGTTTCATATATTAATTAATACTAGAATCGGTCGATTAATACGCTTGTTATTAACTCGGTCCTTTCACGGTAGTAAACTTGGGTTGTTAATGCATGCGTCTCATGGTTAATAAGCCAAGGGGAATTAATTATATTGATTAAACCAATAAACCGCTTGTGTTGAGGTTATCAATCTTAATCGTTTTCATCTTGATTTTATGGCTACTATCGAGTAAATATACGGCGCGTGTTCTATATTAACTCGGTAGTAAGTTTTATTAATGAACGCGTCTCGTTATTAATAACTACCCTCGATGAATTGGATATACTCCTCGATTGAGTATTCGAGAGGAAGATAGTTAAAGATATAACCGGGATCGACGAACATTTCATTAAGTGGATAAAAGCAAAGCCAAGTCCTCTTCTCATTAATTAAATCACATAACTCGTTCATCTTCGTATTTAAATATAATTTAAAGTTCTTCAACCAAATATAAACCCCCCTTTTTTGTTACTTATTTATTCTTGTAAGAAGAAAAGAATTCCTTTCCCTGTGGATACGAACCTTACTTCGCTATACTACGTATTAGTGTCGTATTGTATTATTATTTTGAGTGCACACCACGACAAAGTGCACGTCAAATTTGGCGCCGTTGCCGGGGAAAGGCAATTATTTCTCTTTTTATTTCAAGAAAAATCAAAATAAAAAAAAAAAATGTTTAATTAACCAAAAATATAAAGAATTCTTATTTTTCTATTTCTGAGCTTTGTGAAGTATATGGTCCGATATCGTTCTATAAACGAAACCACTTATCAAGCAAACCCCGAAATAGAACAAGCCTTCGAGAGGTTGAGAAATTTAATTCCGCACATACCCTCGGAGGAATCCTCAAACGCTAGCTCTAGTTCTAGCGAATCTGAAGAGCCAAGCACTATGGCTCAAGAAACAAGAACTTTGAGGGAGCTCACAGCTCCGAACTTGAACCAACAACCGTTGTGTATTACCTTCCCTACACTCAACGAGGGTAATACATTTGAGCTGAAATCTGGGCTCATTCATCTTTTGCCATCCTTCCATGGCTTAAGAGGGGAAGATCCAAATAAACACCTCTCGGAATTCCATGTCGTATGCACAAGCATGTGTCCTAATGGAGTCACCGAGGAGCAAATCAAATTGCGGGCCTTCCCATTCTCACTCAAGGACACCGCAAAGGATTGGCTGTTCTATCTTCCTTCGGGAAGTATAGGCACGTGGGCGGCAATGAAAAAAGCTTTCCTCGAAAGGTACTATCCCGCCTCTGTCTCCTCATCTCTCAAAAAGCAAATCAGCAATGTGGAGCAAAATGACGATGAATCGTTCTACGAATATTGGGAACGATTCAAGAAACTTTGCGCAAGCTGTCCATACCACGGCTACTCGGAGCAAGACCTCATTCTATACTTTTATGATGGTCTTTGCAATGATGATAGACGAATGATCAACGCCGCATGTGGAGGGGGAATCGTTAACAAGACTCCCTCTCAAGCTATGAATCTCATCTCGGAGTTGGCCGAGAATTGCAGATATCACAACGGGCGGACATCAACAAAAAGAGTTATGGCGGCCGAATCAACATCGTCTCTAGAAAGTCAAGTTGCCGGCTTGACTTCTTTGGTTAAGGATTTTCTGTTAAACTCCAAGACCCAAGAAGTCAAGGTCTGCGGCATCTGCACACAACAAGGTCACCCCACCGATGCGTGCCCGACCCTTCAAGAAGAAAATCCCGAGCAAGTCAACGCTTTGGGGTTCCCAAACCAAAAGAGGTATGATTCTTACGGCAACACTTATCACCCTGGGTTTAGAGATCACCCCAATCTTCGTTATGGGAATCCGCAAGGAAACCCACAACAAAATAACCCTCCACCAAATCAATTTCCTCCAAATAAACAACCGTACTCTAAACCCCAAGGCCAAGGCTCAACTATGTCCACCGAAGACATGATCCGAGCACTCACCTCCAATGTCTCAACCATGCAACAAAACATGGTTCAATTTCAACATGAGACAAAATCAAGCATCCAAAACCTTGAAAATCAAATGAGCCAAATCTCAAGTGCCGTGAGTAGGCTTGAAGCCAAGGATTCAACAAAGCTTCCATCTCAAACGGAGCCGAATCCTAGGCAACAAGCCCATGCGGTAACATTGAGGAGTGGCAAAGAATTGGTGATTGCCAAGGAGAAAGCCAAAAGCCACATTGGCGAGGAAGAAGAGGAGGAGGTTGTAGACAAAGCTCAACCTGAGGAGGAGGAAGCTCACACTCTCACCCCACCACCAACCATCCAAGAAGTTGAGGCACCATTTCCCGAAGCTCTAAGGGAAACACGGAGGGTGGACAAAGACAAGGACATCTACGAGACATTCTCCAAGTGTGAGGTAAATATCCCTCTTCTTAATTTAATAAAGGGTGTTCCCAGATTTGCAAAATTTTTCAAAGAGCTTTGTACAATAAAAAGAAAACATAGACTCAATGGAAAACAAAAAGTCCAAGTTAGTGAACGTGTTTCTGCAGTCTTTCAAAAGAAACTCCCAAAGAAATACAATGACCCCGGAATGTTCACTATACCTTGTAAGTTGGGCGGCACTACGTTTTCAAAGGCCATGCTAGACTTAGGAGCATCAATCAATGTTATTCCTTATTCTTTGTATAAAGCACTTGAGCTT